ACTTAAACATTTTTCTTTTAATTTTACATTAGTGGAAGTTGATTGATTTTGTTCTTCTTAAAGGAAAAACAAATTATCTACTCGTTACCAGATCCAGATATATTTACCATGTCAAATGCTACATCTATTTCAATAATGTAGCCGAGAATATTATCTTAATTATATTTTCAAAGTTATTTTATGAAATATATTCCGCTGTTCTCGATATGAAATGATTACTTTTTCATTAGCACCAATTAAAGATATTTATATAAATTAGGATGTTAGTATTTTCTCTCATAGAAACCGATCGGCAGTGATTTTTTTTGAATAGTTTCGGTTTGATTTACTTCAGAGTTATTATTCTTTAAAAATGAAAGGACACAAAATTGAAAGTAACTAAATTTTCTATTACAAAGGTCATAAGCATATTTATCGTCATACCAATATATTTTCAGCTCTAGTCTCGTGCAAATTTTCAATTATATAATATGTTATCGATTTGTGACTAAAATTGAATGACTTCTATTGTTTATGCAATGTATTATTGCCATAAAAATTGAAATCAGATGACAGAATAAAATATTTCAGCAGTTGAGAAAACCGAATCTCCGTTAATCATTCAATCATTGTATTTTTGATAAAGTGTGCATGTTGTAAAAGAGCAATTGATCGGTCCAAAACGAAAACTCATCCAACAAAAATGTATACTGGAATCAAAAAAAAAAAAAAAAATTAGTCCAAGGTATAACATCACATAGCAACTGTTACAGAGACACATATCACCGATAACATAGATAGATGAAAGTGAGTATAAAATATTAAAATATAACAACATTGTAGTTGAATCAAATAGCCACACAAAGGGTGCATCATTTACTTAAATAAAAATGCATTCACTTTGTGCGTGACAACAGCGCCAATTAACTTATGAACTAATGGACGATTTTTTCGTATACTGACAATACAATTTTTAATAGAATTCGTAATTAAAAAATATATATGTTGGTTTTAATAAAAGCATATACGGATTTGTAGAACAAGCGAAAAAATTATTTAATTTTTATTACATATTATTATTATTGTTTCCGTTAAAAAAGTAAGTATAATCAATAAAAATCAATACTATAATATAGACAGGCAACAGTATTTACGAGAAAATGTATGAGAAGTTGCCTAATAAGTTGTCATTGAAGAATAGGTTAAATAATGTCAAAATAAAAAATTACCATTAAATATTAAAGTGGAATTAAAATGTATTAAAAGAAAAATAATTGGTATATTAGCGATTGTAATTTATATTTTCTTCATTTTTAGTTCGAAAGAAAACAGAATTAATTATTAAAACTGGTTTCCTATCAATAAGTTACAAAATTGCATTCCAGCCACATACAATAATCCAAGGCAGAAATCTAGTCCTTGCTGAACATTTAAGATTTAAGGGATGTTGAAGATAATCTTAAAATTGTTTATTTAAAACCTTTTTACTTTTTGATATTTACTACTCATCGGCAAAATTAACCGCCCACCCAATGTTTTGTTATTTAGATGGAGATATTTGTAATTTTGATTTTTTTTTTACTTTTTAATGTCTAAGCGAAAGAATGACAGCTCTGACAGTTAAACATTTATTTACTGTCAAAATGTGACGTCAATTAATGTCAAAAAGTGACGAAAATCTCCGAAAATTTCAGAAATAAATAAAAATAATTGGGTGGGCGGTTAATTCTACCGGTTAGTGTATTTACAGTATTAATGGTATTATTACTAAAGTAAATGTACTTTTTTTCTTCGTATTGTACAGCTATCCATTTATTTCTTTAATTTAATTTCCATTTTGCTACTGAAAATTTTTTACCTATTATTTTTTTTAATATGTGTATGTGTATTTGATACGCCAAAATTACAAACTGTCGCCCTAAAGTATTCGAATTATCCGTAACTTGCACTAGTGTCGCTTTTGCTTCGCACTATTATACAATTACACAATTATTGAGCGTTAATTATAAAACTTGTTTTTGGAGCAGAATACCGTTTTCATATCGAAAATATTAAAGATTTTCTTAATTATTTTCATACACTTTTTAAAAATGACTTTATTAACAATTATTCTGGGAGATTTTAACATATATTTAAAATAGAATATCACTCTACGTTTAATGAAATTGACTCCAGATTTAAACGAATTATTGAAAAATCAACACACATTACACCAACATCGGCTACTCTCGTCGACTACATTCTAACTAATAATTTTACCTTGGTTGAACTTTCTAGAAACGCAGTCTATAAGATTTGTCTTATTTAAAAAGTATCCAATTTTTTAAAAAATAAAAAAACCACAAAAAATTTTAAATTTACTATATACTAGGACATACACATTTTTCCAAAAAAATTAGTTTAATTATTAAAAAACATTAATAAATTTTATTTTTTAAATATTGTGTATGTCCCAAAATATTAATATTTATGTTTAAGGCCGTGCAAAGGAAATGAGAAGTCTGAACAAGTCCTCTTAAAAAGAGACAACCAAAAATTTACCCTACAGGTGCTGCCTCAAGTTAAGCGACTAACTAACAAATATAAGTAGAGACGGGACTTTTCATGAAAAGTAATTTTTGGACTAGTCCGGAAAAGTAGTGAAAAGTAATGAAAAGTCGCAATGAAAAGTAGTTGAAGCATAGAAGACACACAGTTAAATCCCCATCCTGGATGTTTTTTTTTTAGGCAAATCATTTGTAAAATACTTCTAACCTTTGGATTTTTTGGTAATTTTTTCACGAGATATGAAACGAAAATTCGAAAACATTGTTAAAACATTACAAAAGTCAGTAAACATTTGGCGTTTCTTCTTTTTTAAACTAAATTTTGCCTTTGTTTGTAAGAAATTCAGACGAATTAGTTAATTTAATTTCGTGCAGGCCCAATACACTTTTCCACTTTTGAAAAGTGTGTTTGACCTAGTCAACTTTTCAGGCTAGTCCGTCGGACTTGTACGTGGACTTTTTAAAGCGACCCATGACTAAATATAAGTATTTGCATCACCGAGTAAAAAAGAATTCATCTAAACTCCCAGATACGGGCTCGGTTACATTATATTTCAAAGACACGATAATTCAGTTGAATATAATAAATGTGAAGCATTTCAGTGGAAACAGATATAAATTCCCTAAACTATAAGCCCTAATCAATAAGCTATTTAAATCTTTTTAATACCTACTAAATAATTATTTGGTGTAGACGCGTTTGACTAATATACAGGGTGGTCCAATAATAAAGGTTAACTGGTTTGGTGCTGAAATCATGAGAATGCAAAATGAACAAAAAGTAAATGAGGTAAACTTAGTCAATGAAAATCAGGCAAGAAACCCTCAACACTATTAATAAATTAAGCTAATCATAACCCATCCGAAGATAAAGGATTTGTCAGTAAAAAAGAAAACAAGGAAAGTCCGTAATAATAACATAGGCAGTGAAGATGGGGATGAATATTTTCAGGGTGTAGATAAAACTGAGACGAAAATCTGGCTTTTCCTGTGACGAGTCCCTGACAGCGTTACAGAAAATATAATGGTCAATATTACAAAACAGTCAGGCGCACAAAATATGTATGTAAAGAAATTTCCAACATACTTTGTCCGATCCAATAACCAAGGCTTCATTATAGCTGTTGATCCTTCTCTACAAGAAAAGGTTTATGACAAAAATGATTGGCCAAAACAAACGTGTATTTAAGTCAATTCAACTTCAGGCAAGGTCAACGGTTAGTGGACCATCGCTCTTACCATTCTCAATCTCAACCAAGGGGGAAAATGTCCAACCAGTTAAATGGAAATTTCTTTATTCAAAAAATATGATTCTCAATGTATCGAGAATTATAGAACGATATGTATACTTAGCTGTTTCTTAAAAATGATTGAATCGGCCGTTTACACACGGTTAACTGAATATTTAGACCAGAATAATATAATCACACAATCCAAATATGGTTTTCGTCAGAATTATTCAATCTAAAGTGCTTCAATTGAAAATATCGATCAGAACAACTATTTAGTGGGAATATTTTTTGACCTAACCCGTGCATTTAACACGATTAATCCCACTTACTTAACAAAACTTGAAGCAATGGGCATTAGAGGTCCAATTCAATCTTGGATCAACTCATATATGTCTGACAGAACAGAACACTTAAAGTGCAGATTGATGAATTATCTGATGAGTTTAGTACTTTTATTGGAACTCCGCAAGGTGGAGTATTAGGACCACTTTTTTCTCCTCTACATAAATTATACAATTATAACAAATGAACGAGTTTTTATATATGCGGACGATACAACTGTAATTGTAGCGAACAGATTCAATCGATTTCAACTAAAAAAGTCTCCAATGTCTGCTGGATGACAATTTTTTAATTTGTTACCAGATTAAATCAAAGAAAACATTTTAAAAAATTCAAGACCACTTTAGTTATTTTTAACTGAAAATTGTTTTTATTCTCTATACGAACTTATTGGCTCGAACAATAACACCTAATTTTAACAATACTTTATCGGTCTCTTAATTTCATTCTGTAATTTTATTTTATTTCGTAATTTGATTCTGTACTAAATGTTTATTAACAATTAATGTTTTTATTAAGATAATTTGTAGCTTATTATTTATCAACTTATTGTACCTTGAGTATAGTATGTTTGTGACTTGTCTTATATCATGTAAATGATACAAAAAGACACATAAATTCATCTATCTATTATCTGCAGGAATTTTTTCAGTTTCCTCTTTCTTGTAGTTTCGGTTAAAAACTCTCTGAAAGAACGTTGTTCATGCCTACATTAAATACATTGTCCACGCCTGACCTTAACTGCAAAAAGTTTCATGAAAATCGAATGAAAAATAAAGCAATTGAAATTTATTTCAATTCAGATGTCCTGATTGCTATTAATATTGGAATAAAATTTCAAAAAAAAAACTTTTAGTAAAATAAACTTTTTTAATTATCTACCAAAAGAAATAAAGGACTCCAGAAATTTGAATTTGTTTAACAAAAACTTATATAAATATCTTAGAGAATCAAATTAAACAATATAATACGTAAAATAACAAAAACAAAATCATGTAAATAACAAAATGCTATATATATCAACAGATAAATGAATGTATTCATTGACTCATACATTCATAATTCATTCGTTCATTATTGCTCTGACGACAAATAATTAACCTTTTTTACAGAAAACTTAGTTCTCTTTCATATTTAATATTTTATTTTTACCGTAAGGTTAATAGAAAATGAGGTATTGCAAAAAGAAACGGATTTCGATACCGAATTTTCAGATTTTAGAGGGCGCTGCAAGTCTGAAGTAATCAATTTGATATGTTATTTCTCACCTAGAAACTAAGTTGTTAAAAAAGTAATTCCAGTGTGTTTTAACAATATCTTGATTTTTTTCTACTTGCCGATTCAGTATAGAGTATATAATTTTTTAAGATTGTATCTTTTTTCAAGTCTACTGGCTGCAAACGATATTTTTCTAGCTATTGTAAAAAATGTCAAACAATTAAGTATTTTTTAGAAATACAGAATTAATAAATAAAATCTTTTTATCTACAGTTTACAAGGAACATCGTTAATATTCAAAAACTATAAAAAATATGAAAACAATTATTCTAATTAATAAATATAAAAGACAGGAGCATTAAACTTAGCAAACAATTATTTGATTATTCTAACATTGTGCATTTTAAAATTTCTGAGAAAAAATGCGAAACAGACTGTCTTAGTGTACTGGTTGTTCAGTTTATTAAATAAAATTTTAAAAAATTAAAAAGTGCAACATGGATACGTATTATTTAAACAACCTTAATACTCTTCTCAAAATTAATATATTATTTACAATTAATCACAACATATATTCTAAAATGTTCGTTTCCAGAACATATTTAGACGTTCAACTTCGGATTTTTTTATACATACAAAAATTTGTCTTCAATCTGTTTAACTTTCTCAAGTCTAAGTTTAATACTCATCAGTTAAAAAATCAGTTCTATTCATCTTAAATCTATGGTATCATTGAACTTAGAAATCCGGGATCAACAGAGGCTACTTTCGCTGTTAAAAACGCATGCATGCAAAATAATAAACTCTGCAAAATTGAACATTCCAACTCCTGCAAAAAAAAAACATTTTTGTTGTACTAGGTGAATAAACAAAAGTTAAAATAGTAATGTGACGAGGAGCAATAATGTGACGAGGAGCAACTGAAGATACTTAATATTATTTAATTAAAAATAAATTAAAATAGGAGTACCTCAAAAATTGTCCATTCCCACTTGTACAATTGTTACTATATTTTTAATTGATTTCAGGAGTTCTGTAGTATTATTATTATTATTAAATAAGTTGAATAACGATGAATATTTCACTTCTTTTACTCATTTTAGTGAAAGTGTGATAATTAAAATTTGCGATTAAATTTTTCACATGGACAAATTATCCCAAATTGTTATAGCTTTATAACAATTTGGAATAACTTGTCAATGTAAAAAATTTAATCGCAAATTTATGCTTATAAAGCTCATAGCGTTTGACCTCAACCTTTTGGTTTCGTCCTATTTTGTGTCAGGATATGTTCAGTTGCTCCATGTGCCATCTTTGTAAATAATTTTAGATTTTTTCCCCTTTAATAAGAAGATTATCACCTAATATTTTCTGAACGTACTCCAATCAATGTATTTGACAAAACCTAATTACCTTTGTTTCGATGGCTCTCGATTCTATATCCTGAAAATGCAATTTCAACTTCGATTTACCATCATCAGATGATCCTCTCAATTGTGAAAATTTGTATTGCCACACTGGAGTTTTTGAGTCACCTTCGTGTAACGAAAATCCCAAGTTCCAATCCAAAGTCAGTCCAGCAGTTTTCCCATTACTGCTCACAGTAAAAGTCTTGTTCTGAAATGACATTTCATTTAAAATATAAATCAAATAATGTGAAAGTGTTTAACAGGTGACAACTTGAAATATTTTGCGACTATCATCAATAGGATAGTACACAAGAACAGGAAATAAAATGATAAGACAACTCATTCGGGTTATTGTCCCTGATTTACAAACCACAGAACACAAATGGGCAATAAACTCGTTTAAACCATACAAATCACCGGCAATCGTCGATATTTATCCAATAATGCTACAAAGATGACCTGATATCTTATACGGAAGACTGTGCAGCATACTCAGAAGCAGTGGCGGCTCGTGAGGTAGTGCCACTGTGCCCACTGTGCCATGGCACTACCTTATTTTTGATGCAAAAATATATTTTTTCTTTTCAAAACGTCTCATCAAATTTTTATTTTATTTTCAAAAATTACTTTCAAAAATGATTTGAAATGTGGCAACCTCGCGCTGCATAAATCTCCAAGCTCGTGCCGCGACTCGCGTATCGAGGACAACACTAATCATTTGTAGTACGCATGTCGTACGCGTTTTATTTGTACACCGGTCTCCTTTTGACAGAGTAGGTGAGCTGTGTCCAGGCCGTTGGTGTTTATGCCGGTCGGCGTAGCCAGGTATGGATTGAAATTTTCTGGTAGCTGCGAAGCCGCCACCCTACTAGAAGTCGTTGCTTGGTCTTCTTGTTGTCACGGCCTTATTATTATTATTATTATTTGTTCATGTATGTGAAATTTGCTTCTAAGGTTTATAAAATACTACTGCTAGTCACGGCGTAAATGAAAACAAACAAGACGCATTCACACAAACACCTCCCACCACAACAATTACAAATGATAAGTGTTGTCCTCGATACGCGAGTGTGCCGCGTACCTGAGCCAGTTCTCAGCTGGAACTAGGAGAGAAAGAGAGATTTTACCAGCAGCCTATATGAGCAACAGAGATAGGGACATTTTACATGTATTTAAACGGTAAAGTCAAGGAATATTTGTGCCAGGCACAGCGCGGATAGCTGTTCAGATAATCGCGGTTTCTCGATAATGTCGATTGTTGACTGAATTAATCGAATTTCTTTACGCGCTTTTAAGTTTTTCGTTACGTTACGAAGTATTATTAGTGACGTTAATGTGTCTTTTTGTTTTCGATAAACTTGTTTAAATATCTTATTTCCTAGTTTTTAATTTATTGTGACAATGAATAAAATTTTGTAAATGGAATTGAAAATTTTAATAATAAAGTAATTGAAAACTTTGCAACCAAAAAAGAAAGAAGAATGGACTTCATTTATCGGAAACTTTAAAGCTAGTATATCAAGCAACTTTGCGCGCGTGTGTAAATACTGTAAATAGGTATAGTTTTGTTTGTGATTTTTTTGGTATATGGACCTAAAAACTCTTTATGATAATAACAAACTGCAAGGACTTTCAGCATTAATTACTGGGGGTAAGTTAATTTATAATTTTTAATTAATTTTACAGAGTTTTTTGATAAGACTAACCCTGACGGCCTGTTTCGTGGCAAAACTTGTGTTATAAACCTCATAAATAGTAGTCATAATAATAGATATAAAAGTATCCGTCCTTCATTTATTTTTTTAATTAAAATATTATATCTATTTTGACAATACCGTGATACATTTTTGCCCAAAGCCAGTTTTTTAAACGACTTTTTGTTAAAAATATGAGCGTGGCAGCCCAAAAAATTTCTCGCCTCTGGTGGAGGGCCTCCGGCGGGGTTTACACATTTGTTAAAAATCTGGCACTACCATCTCGTGTTATCACGAGCCGCCACTGCTCAGAAGTAGCCTGGCCTTTGAATACATACCAAGAGCTTTGCGAAACACTAGGGTCACTTTTATACCAAAACCTGGGAAAATAGAACAGGGGACCGCAAAGTCCCTAAGATCAATAAGTCTAATGTCTTCATACTCAAGACTTTAGAGAAACTGCTAGATAAACACATTAGAGATGGGATATTGGTTCAAAGACCAATAAACTATGATCAGTACGCCTATAACGCAGGAAAATCACTAGAAATAGCTCTCCATCAATTAGTAAAAAGGGTGGAGAGCACACTGGAAAACAAGGAGGTAATATTAGGAGCTTTCTTGGACATCGAAGAAGCATTTGACAACACCTCCGTCGACTTTATCGTCAGAATTCTGAAAAATAGAGGAATCGAGGAAACATGTGTGACGTGGATCGACGCTGTCTTGAAATAACCCCCACTGCAGCACTAATAGGCTTGCGATCACTTCACTTTGTGATAGAGGTGGAGGCAAGATTAGGTGCTTACAGATTAGGGGAATCTTTACATTAGACCAGGTGACATGAGTATCACAAGGTTAGTGACAGGGGATGGGCTAGACAAGAGAACAATTATAACCAAACGTTACTCCTTCAACACTCCATTCGAGGTTTCAATACCAAATAGAACGGAGATCTCTATAAGGGAACCCAGTGCCCAACGACAAGAACAAACTTGATACACAGACAGGTCAAAGTCTGCGAAAGGCATCGGGACTGGAGTATTCTCCAAAAACCATAGCACCTTAGCTATGCCATAGGAAGACACGCTTCAGTATTTCAGGCCGAGGATTATGGAATCTTGCAATGTGCAAAAATAAATAATAGGAGAGAGAGGAGAGAGACAATAAGCAGATCCAAATAATGCCAGATAGCCCTTAAGGTCATCACATCGTCAGAAAGTGATGTCGAGACTGTTATAGGATTGCATCGAAGAACTGATAACACTTGCAGACCTAAATAGAGTAGAACTAGTTTGGGAACAAGTTCATCAAGGGATCGAGGGCAATGAAAAGGTTAACCAACTTGCAAAGAGAGGGTCAGAAGAAATACCGGAACCAGATATAAACTTTGAAGTACCACAAAGTACAGCTTGAGGTTTCATAAATGACTGGGTTCGGGAGAAAATACAACAACTATTGGGATAATGTCCTAAAACAAGCACATTGGAAAATCTCTGGACACCTGACCGTTGTATGAAGATAATATAGTAGGGTAACCTTATGGAGATATCATTGGAGGATGATGGATATAGAATGTAGATGGCGACACTGTACTTATATCCAAGTCAGGTCTTTAGGTCATGTCTGTGCTTGAGTATGAATTATAATTTAAAATCTTCTTTTTCATTTCTACATGTCTTCGGTAATGTATTTTTATAGTTACAATTTACTATTGCAAATTATTACAAAAGGTCACATAAAATGCCAAAATAATCAATATAATAAAATAAACCAGTTTTTGTTTGAAAAAGATTGAATGAGTTGAGATTGGGTGGAATTTTACTATAATGTGGAACATTTTTTTCTATATTGTGGATTGATCGCTGATGGTTAATTAAAACTTGAGTTTTACGCTGTTAATTTTTATTCATTTTTATATTATAATGGTATCAAATTAAGAATAGGACATGAACAACTGAAGATTATTGTTCAAAATGAGACGAATAGACGAAAATAAAAAATGCTTGGATAAAATGTTCTGAAATACAGGATGTTAAGTTGAAAATTAAAAAATTAATAATGGGTAAATATGTAGGTATAGTAATAATTTTATTATTCAATATAATTTTACTAAAATCGGCACTGACAAAATTTAACTAACAGATTTTTTTGCTGTTAGGTAAACTTATAACATAATACCAAACACGTTTAGTGAAATTATACTAAGTAATAAAAACATGTAAGCCACTAATTTTCACTTTTCAACTTTTAACACCATTTGAAAAGAATCGAGTACCAATTTATGGTAGCGGAATCAGTAGCACATTTAGGAGTATTATTTTCGAAAGACAAAATTTAAAATTTTTCATTTATTTTTTTTAACATGGAAATACTTTGCTGCATGCCCTACAGTGATGAAGCGCTCAACGAAGGCGTCATAAAAAATAAATTATAGAAAATGCAAATGTTACATATTTGATTAGATAATTAACAGACATAAACCTTGATTGCTCAGGACGTTAAGTGCTCAACTTTGGATTTCGTGAAGTTCAGTTACCGACTACTACTACTACAACTACTATTTTTTTCTGAACTGTTATCAAAATACTACAAAATTTAGCAGAAAGATTGAATTAATTATATTTTTTCCAAAATTAAAAGAATTTTTTTATCTGTAATTGAATCCGGGTTGGGAAATCCAAACTTGAACGCTTATTGACTTAAGTCTTGAAGGCACTTATATCAAGTTAATTATCTAATCAAATATGTGACGTGGCTTTTTAAAATACTATCATTGTGCGCTCCACTGCTGTTGTGTCCATCTTCTACAAGAGAAAAAAGAAGGAAACATTTGTAAAGTTGCCTTGCACAAATGTGTACCAAAAAATGGCAACTGGCTCTCGTAAGCCTTTTTCGTTTAAACGTCTCATTATTTGAACACTAAGCGCCAGCATGGGAAATATATGTTAAAGTTAGTTTTAAGAACTTTTAACATTCAAATAAAAACAATTTATAAATCTATTATTAAAATCCGTGTTGGAACAAAACATAAAATTGTTGAATTTGAAAGATAATATTCTAAAAATGGAAAGGACTTCGGTCGAGAGCCTATTGGACTGAATATTCGGTTCAATCAATGACAATTATTAATATTACTATTCTTAAATATTTTATTTAATTTGCTTGTAAATTTATGTGTAAATATATTTATAAATTACACTGGTTAACAGTAATTTTGTGGACGGGGGTTTAAGAGCGTTTTTGGGCGAACGTTTTACCGATTTCAAATCGCTTCTCCGGCCTATAAATCTTCAGTTGTTTCAAAAAGAATAAAATAAAGTAGTTCTGTCTAAAACTAAAATAAATTTGCTATCTCGAAGTCCCCATCAATTATTGCCAAACTTTTCCTTAACGTCTTAGTTGTAAGTTTCATATTACATTTTTTTTAATTTGCTATATCTGTGGAATCATTAATTTTCACTTGCGTCATTGTTCTTCTGAAAAAGCGAAATGTGACTAACGTTGCAAATAATAATAATAATAAGACATTAATTTATTTATTTATTCAGTTTTGTCTGAGCTAGCTAAAAGGCAGTATTCTATAAACAATGAAAAATAGTGATTGTTGTTTTGAACTACTTAAAACATTTTCACACGAACGGCGTGCGTGATTCAATTTAAAAATACTTTCCAGAATAAAACCATGTGTTCCGGTTGTGACTTCGTTTATTACTAAACAGCAAAGATATATACAGAAACGTTAATCCACAATCTAAATCAGGAACTATCACAAGAAAATCACTATGTTACAATTAATTACTTAACCAAAAACTAGAGTACTTATTAATAAACGTATATACAGAATGGGCGCATTTTGTTCATACTTAACATTACACTTGCGCACTGACACTTAACCTGGATTAAATATAACTATAGATACAAATATTTACAAAGATAATTTTTCAAACCGTGATAAATTATAAAAGATTTACTTTTATGCTAAAAGTTAGGACTTTATAATTATTGTGTCGTTCGTAAAATTCTGTACTAAATAGAGCACTGATTTTGAATATAAATTTTAACCATTTTGACAAGTTGTTGAACCTTGTAACATTGCATAATGAAATATAAAGACTAACTGAATATGTCTGCCACAGATAGACCACTTGGAGCTATTGAAAACTTTCTTTCAAGGTGATTTATTTCAACACTCAGAGCCAGCCGAGAAAACATTTTTTCTTATATTCATGAACAACAGCCAAGATACATTTGGAAATCACTAATATATCCCTGTGACTGCTATTTTTTTAATTTGTTTTCCAGTGTTAGGGATTGATTTTTCCCTGATTAGTGATTTTCTTGTTCCTTAACTCAATTTCTTGCAAATTGTTGATAGCTTTGATGAAATTTTGTAGCAAAGCTTGTTCGAATTTTGAAAACTATAAAAATATTCAGCTATTTTTATAGCTACAAACTTTTCCAACACTTAGTCCAGACATAGTTATTGGTAAAAGATGCTTATTGCGTCCAATTAGAGGTACTTAGATTACATGCAACATTTTCAGAAGCTTATTCCTTTTTTGTCTTCTACTTGGAACTTTTCAATTTATTTAAAACATTGGACATTGTTATTAGTTATTATTAGCTTTGTTCGGCTTACCAATTTTATAACGTTTCAGAACGATTCAGAACTGCGTGAAATTAGTTGCGCACTAAATTACATACGAAACAGTCAATCCTAGAGTGTCCTAGGACTAGATTTGGAGAAACCCGAACACGTAAATTTAAATGCGCATGATTATAACGATTTTAAACCGTCCTCAAAAGTAAGCCGAACAAAGCTATTGTTTATATACATTGACATAACCGCACATAACCAAAATATTGACCTAAGTCCTTAACCACTTTTTATCACCGTCATCCAAAAATTGTATTTGTACGGTTTTGTCAACTGGAATAAATTTTCATTATTATGTTTAATTTTTTATGTCTTTTATCATGAATTGTTATTTTTAAATAAATAAAGATATGTTTTAACTTTAATAGGTAGGTGATACATAGTAGAGGCCACGTGCCTCATCGAAAAGAAGACGTAGAGGGCGTATCTGCATAGCATTAAAAATTGACTACTTTATTAAATCGTCAGTAGATGGCGCACGAGATTGCATCCAACACTTTTTACTGTTGCATTATCCTACTATATTATCTTCATACAACGCCTGAACAAAAGAGGCGTTTATTATTAGGACCAGAAACAGTCAAATACACATTTTGCAACTGCGAAACATTGGATCGTAAATAAGAGATACTGATCCAAGAACCTATAGAACACACCATGTCAAAGACTTGTTCAAGGAACTAAAGTGACAGAGTGGGTACTATGACATAAATTGAATAAGCCATTAGGCTTCATTGTTATCGGAATCTAAGTCAGACGAACTCAGGAAAAAAATCATCTATATAAAATAAAATTTTAACAAAATAAATACAAGTAGCTCTTGTTTGCACCCTTTAACTACTAGTGAAATTATCCCAGCTATCCATTCGTGTACGACTATTGCTATATCGTCTGCATATCCTAGACATTAAAAGCTTTCGCCAAACATTTTTTGAAGAAGGTCGTCTACCAAGTAAGCCATAGTGTGGGCAAGCTTCTTCAACCATCATTAGCCAAAACTTTACAGACTCAACAGTATCCTGGAGTTTCATTTACCTCTTCGTAGTTCCTTTAAGCTTTTCGAATATCTTTGATACAGTGTGTTAATTTATTTCTGTAGATATGCCTGTCACATCTGCTCCGCTGTTACTAAATGTCTAATTTCACATTCATTTTTTCTTTCATCCACAACAAATGCCTTTTGCAATAGTGCACCCAGATACTTTATTTGGGCACCCAGATACTTTATTTGGACACCCAGATATTTTATTTGGGAAAGAGGGTGTTAAAATTTATAGTATGACATTTTGTACAACATAAAATGAGAAAGAAGACATTTATAGTGCGTCACTTGATTTTTTTGTAATAAATTACTACTATAAAGTTGTTAAATTGTCCAACTTAGTAAAATTTTGTGTATTGTTACATTAAAGTATACTTATAGGGTATTATGAAAAGTCGAAACTGTTTTTGTTAAAAACACATGACAATAGATTAAGTTTGTTTAATTACCCTGTATCCAAATAACAGCTGGAGCGTTATAAACATTTTTCTTGCTACAATCTATAAAAAATTTATATAGTACGCTGTTTTATTTATACAATTTAAGTTATATCATATATCTATAGAAAAATATCACAATAGTATCTATAATCTAATATTTACTTATTTGTAGTGTATCTTTTATGAATGTATTCTTGTTTTATTTTCATTGTCAATTAAGAACACATCTTTAATAAACTGACAACTAAGTTTTTTTTTTTTTTTCAGTAATTATTATTCAAATTTCCCGATTTTCAACTTTCACTTCAAGTCCGTGTACTCATCCACAGTCACTTTTTATATGAAATTTGTAGCGAATTGTGTGGTCCCAGGGGACAACAGAACCATACGTGGACAGAGCAGAATCGATAAATTAATTATAATTTTTGATTTGTGAAAAACTTAATGAATTTTTTTTTTTAATTAGTTACAAAGCAAACATCAAACTGTAATAAAGAAAAATCATTTAAAACCAAAAATTGATAGGTTCTATATGTATTTATTTAATTAGTAACAAAAAATTCAAGTTTAGTAAAAAAATTACTGAAATCCTAAAACTAAAAAATTGGTAACTCTTACAACTTAAATATTTCAACATCTACATGCTACAAAAAATAAAGTAGGTGGACATTTGGTCCCACAATGTAATAAGTCGTGGACCCACGCGTCCGGCGGTGGGCACGAAACAAAAATTAAAATAAACATAAAAATATGATCGAAAACTAAAAAGAAAACTGAAGTAGATAAAAATAAACCGGTTTAAATTAAAAAAGTGAGGATAAAAGTTTGGTCCCAATGATCGAACAGCTGATCTCAGTGTAGGACTAATTAAGGTATTAAATGCACAAAGTAAATTCACAAAAGCCGAAGTGCCTTAAAACTCGTAGTTAGACAATACCCTTTGTATTTTGAAATATTATAGTTTTATTAGTCGTAAGAAAAATAGTGTACAAGTTTCTACACTAGTTATGTAATATAATATTACAAATGAGAATTAATCTAGATACTTACCCCTAATTTCATAACAGCAGTACAAACAGAACAATGCCAAGCATTTTCAATTTTCAGCAGTTCCTGTCTAGTTTCTACAGAAAAATACCTAGAATCCTGTCCTGAAGTCTGTACCAAAAAACAGTGCTGTCTCTCGTCCACATTTTCTGATTCTTTAATTACTCGGAACATCGTTTGATACACTTTGAACATCAAAGGACATTTCCCCCAGTCAATTACGTTTAACTAAAAATTAATTCAGACTTCCTAAGTTAAAAAAGCATTATGCATTATTTAAATGTTTGTTTTAAGACAAGCTTTAGTAAGCTAAAATTAATAAAAATATATGTACACCAAGGGTGAAAACAAGCCAATAGAAATATTAAAAAAAATGCTCTAAGATTTAAGTTCAAACTCAGTTTTTCAGAATGATCCAATTTCAAATCTAGTAATATATTTAGTTATACTTCTTCCCAATGTCTAATTGTTAATGTTTTAATTTATGTACCTATAAGAGGATGAATCTAGAAAAACTAAATATTTTAAGATAAATATTGCCATTTTAAACAAATTCTTCAATATTTTATCAAATTTTTGAAGACCCTGGTGTATTCTTTATTTTAACAACAAACCACGTTTTTATTTGTGCAGTTTTTGTTTCGTTATGAAACTTTTCCGAAGTCATAACATTTCTTATAATAAAAATTTACTTTCAAGACAATGGTTTATTTTTGTCCATTAGAGTTTAAATTTTTTAATGATTCGATAGTCTTCTAATTGAATAGTTAAAATTCAATGCAAATCCAGAAATTTGACTCCTGCTGAATATGCCCATACATTGTATTGCACGAAGAAGGCTGGAGCTATCGTGGAATAGGTGACAGATTTGGTGTGTCCCATACATCAGTTTCACATATGGTTGAACGATTCAGGGAAACTAGTAAACACAGTAGAAGATCTGGACAAGGGAGAAATGCCATCATGACCCCGTTCAAAATCGTTTTTTAGGATTTTCGCTCTAAGATAAAGATTTGTAACAACAAGATTGTTGCCATCTCAGCTTCAGAACACACGTGGCGTTCAAGTTAGTCTGGAAACAAATCGACAACGACTTCGGGAAGTTGATTTGCATCCTCGCATAGCTGCACGAGGGCCAGCCTTAATCGTGTATCACCATAAAGCTCAGTTAAACTTTGCCAGGGAGCACGTCAACTGGGGGGAAACTGACTGGGAACGAGTTGTTTGAACATATGAGTCCAGATTTTGCCGGCACACATTTAATAGACGATTTCGTGTTTTAGAAAATCGAATGAATGATACGCACAGTGTAACATAGCAAATACCACTTTGTTTGGTGTTGAATAATGACAATATTAATGCTGAACGCTACATATTGCACATTCTTGAGGAACATGCTATTTTCCCCTTATATCGATGAAAATTTTTTGCTACTGCAAAATAATGCTTGACCCTATACAGCCTAATACAATAGAGCATGTCTGACAATTAAATGCCCATCTGAACCGACCAAACAAAATTCGTCGATAAAATTCTAAAATTAAAATTATTACTAATTTATTAGTGGTGCGTTAATTTCTTGGGACAGTGTATATTAAATTAAAAGTATTTTAAACCTAAGTTGAGAGAGTTATCAATTTTATTATTTGGTTTTAAATTGTATTTTGGTCAACTAGTTAGGCCATTAACATATTTCATATTAAATTTTTAAAATATATACTTTAGGGACAGTTGTTAATATCATATTATTTATATATAACTAATTATTTTAAATATAAACATTTAGGACGTCTTTAAAAACTTACAGGAGGTGTGTCAAACAGCATAAGATCTGTACCCTTCAAAGCAAAAAATCTCGGTTTGTAGTTCTGCCATGGATGATTATTATTTAATACTCCTTCATTAACCCATCCCATGTATTCGATCCTATCAGACACACTAAAATTTCTATTGTAGAGCTTCATCTAAAAGATAAACTTTCCGATTCAACAAACTAATTTCAAAACGAAATGTTAGGCACTCTACCTGTAAATTTGTAAGCCCGATAATATTATCTGTGATATACTTTAACCATTGTGACAAAATGGCTAAATCGTCACAATGTATGATCCCTGTGTTAATGCCATTCAAGCCTCTCACTTCGAATGCATTGGGTCTCAATTTATCGGTTCCGAAAATATATCGTGTGACGTAAGCCATCATTAATGGAACTGTTACAAAATCTACCCAGTGAGTTTGGCTAGATTCGTGCTCTAAATCAGAGCAAATTGAACTAGGTCTACTCATTGTATAATTTGAGACTTTTAAGCTTTCATCTGATGCGGCTTTTTCGTCTCCATTGTATTCTAGTTTTTCTTTCTCGGCTTCTTTCTCTTTTTCCTCTGAAATAAAAATAGCAAAATTATTCAAATCCGTGCAGGAACTACCTTGAAACGATGGAAGATGAATGAGTATCAAACAATAACATGCATAATTAAAAAAGGAAAATAATTCCAACTCAAAAATGACCAAGACAGAAAATAAAATTGAAATTAAAACACGAAACCACGTGAAAAAGAAATTTACTACAATAAATTGAAAATTGTAAAACTTAATTATTATATTTAAATTAAATATTCAAAATCTTAAAAATGTAAAACCCAATTATCTCAAAATCAATAGTTCTTACTTATACTTTTTAATTAATATAACCATTTAATATATGCAAAACAGAAATCATTATAAATTCTTCTATTCAGAAAATAAATGAAATTCTTAATATTTAATATTTCACTATAGATAAAATAAGCACGGAAGTGTATGAATGTATTCCGAACTTAATCCCAAAGTACTACTGAGGCTGGGTATACCTTTTTTCTCGTATGTCCCCATTTTCTTATTGTAAACTTGCTGAAAATATTATGGAACATGTTACTATGATATGAATAAAGATAGGACTTACCTTGCCTCTGCAGAAATGGCGTAGCTGCTTTATAGTGCTTTACAGTTAAAACTACTAAATCACCGGCATTGCGCAATATATTTACAGCATCATCATGGGGGCAAGCTGTAATGTATTCCCCATTCACTAAAAAACAGAACTAATGAAAATATCTACATTTTAGCTTGTAGTTATAGTTATTTTTTATTTATTGTCTACTAATTGGTAAGAGTATTGAGTGGTTTAGATTTCAGGCAGGACTGTAGGATAGCTGATCTGGGAATATTGACTGTTCCTTCTGTTTATATCTTGGAGAACCTGCTCTACATTAAGAAATATCCTGATGTCTTTGTGATGCATCGTAGCGTAGATAATTATGAAACCAGGGGCAGGGATGCTTTGGCGTTTGGGGAGGTGTCAGGATAGCCTGGGTTATTGGGCTAATACATTTTTTAACAGGCTTCCAGCTGTAATTAGAAACTTGCCAATTTTACCTTTTAAAAAAACAATTAAACAGATCTTAATTAGAAATTATTTTTATTCTTTTGAGGAATTTCTCCATTTTGACTATAATGTGTACATAAAACTATTGCTTCTAATGTATGTGTATATATTGCTTTAATACATTTATTTATAATTAGATATTTTTATAGTTTTAAATTTTTATCTTAGCATCTTAGGTATATCCTCTATATTTCGGTATTCCTAAATTTAATTTTATCTGACTTATGTATAAATTTTGATTTGATTTGGGTACTAAAGTGAATACGCTGTAATTAAACAAAATTAATTGTTCTTACTATCATTGTTTTAATTAGTATGAACAATGAAATGATACTATTATGAATGAAACCTGTGAATTGCAAATTAATTTCTTATTATCTAAATTAAAACACATAAGTTTTAGCAAATCTTTTTTTGCAAATCTAAGGTACGAGCACACAGCTGTTAACCACTTTTGGTTCTTCTAACATGAGTTTTAGTTGTTTACCTTTTATGATAGCATCTCCAACGAAAAGTTCCCCTGTTTGAGCAGCAGCTTGATTTTTATAAATTCTAGAAATTAAAATTGGTAGCTTGTGTTCTGCACCACCCTTGATACTTAACCCCAGTCCACCTACTTTTTGTCTTCTCACTTGCACCATTCTTTCCTAAAAAAATAAAGAAAAGCTATTCAAAATACAGTGTAACAGTTGGAGGACAAAAATTCTCCATAAATTTGGAGAAATAGTCGTTAATTTTGCTAATTAAAATTGTTTTCTGTTTTTTGGAAGTTCAGGAACTTAATTCCAGTTTACTCTGTGGAAGAAGGAACTGTGAGAGTTTTGGTGATTAAATGAGTGGTTTGACAGTATTCATTTTAAGTAACAGATGCTTCTGTATCTGTGTGACACTTTGACATATTAAGAACAATGACACATTTTCAATAATTCACTGAGTTTATTTATAAAAATACAAAATTAAAAAATAAACATTTTTCTTTTAAATTTGGTACATCAATTTCAGTATTTATAACAGAATTTTAAATTTTGAGCATAATTTTTACTTTTAATCGAAAAATAAATAGAAAGTTAAAGTTGATATAGGCACAATTCAAAAAACCACTTAAAATTTAACGTCTATACTGGCATATTTAAAAATGTGTCACTATTTTTTGGCACTTTTCAAATCAATTCGCATAACTCAAAAGTGCCGCTGCCCAAACATAACTAAACCTTTCCTAACATGGTAAATGGCATACTGATTATGTGTCACTAATAATCACTAATGGTGCAGCTTAAATATAAAACTTATAATATTTTAGTGGCACATTCACCATCTTGGGGAATAACTAAAATTGAGCCAGTCTTGCTGAAAGAAAAAGTATTAAATTTAACATTTGATATTTAGGAATCTATTATTTTTTAAATTTTTTAGTTGTGCCACTATTCTGCCATTCTAAGCCCAAATTGTGTATCTAAATTTTGCCATATTTTAGATTTTACTTTTTACGGTCTCCCTATGACCTAGCTGTTCAATTTAATAACAAATTTGGCCGTATCTTATTGTTCCATGCCTTCTAAAGAACGATGAGATCCAGCCAAATTTGTTAAGTAAAGGGGTTGTGGTAGATGTGCCCTTGCCATCAGCGTGTGGTACTTGCGCCCAAGTACCCTTTTCGAGCGCACCTGCTTTTTAAGAACGGTCAAGAGAGTGGCAATTGTGCCCCGTTTGTATCCAAGTAGGTAGACTTTTTCTACACTCACATGGATATTATCACAGACTACAGATCGAAAAAGTAGGCCATTGCGTTCTACTGAACAGATATAATTTCATATCCATTAAAATAAGGACACTGTACGGATATTAATCACAGTTTATATTTGGCGAACAGGCTACTATTATTTTTTTAAATTTTAAATAACTGGAAATTTTTGTTAGTGCTGTACAACTCGAGTGGATTGTCCATATTGTCATCAATTGTCATCATATCCAATCTTGTTTCACAAACTGTTATTTGATAACTTAATTATCAGTTTACAACGATGTAAACCAAATAACAAACCAGGGTCCAGCTGTTTTGTCTGTTTAGTTTATTTATTTTTAATTTAAGTAAGTCAAAAATTAATGAGGCAAATTTAAAATTATTTAAATGGTTGAATAAAGAATTAAAAATTCTTTGAAATAAATATCAATCGACCCCTGCTGCTATTTAAACTTGTCTTGGGAGTAACTACCCTGCGCAAAAATGTTGATATTAGAGTACATTTTTTATTTTACAAATATTATGATCATTCAGAAATAAAAATCTCTTATATCGATATTTTATCATACAGAAATTAGTGGTAAGAGTAACATTTTACGTTCGCACTGTATGGTAGTGTATTAAAAATAATAATAATAATAATAATGATAGTATTTTATTTATAAAACGAATTCAAGACGTTTAACATTTTTTTTAATTAAAGGCTATTGAATTGTAAGAATTTTAATCTATGTGAAGGTATCATGGCCTTGTATGCAAAATGGTGCAGAATTTCTTGCTTATCTAAACATTTCAAACTCAGATCAAAGCCACTTATTATATACTTTTCTAGTTTTCACTTATATTTTCGGTCTAACAGGATACAGCATGTAGCTCTAGTTAACCAAAAAAGGGTGTTTTTGAATGAACGTTTATATTTTTAAATATTTAGAAGAAAATTTTTATTTTATCAAATAAAAATTTCTAAACGAATAAACTTAGTTTTAAGGCAATCAATCCAAACTGTTAGGTATTGTAAAATATAACACTTCATTTGAAAGCTAATTTTAATAGTAATAACAATGCACCACATAACATTGAACTAAATATCTCCATTGCACTTGCAACAAAATATGCAATGCAATCTTTTTTTCATTTTAAGTTCATCTTTGATTTAGTTGACATAATATTATGTAGTTCATTGAGTTACCAATAAAATTATCTATTAAATGAAATATACTTTACAATACGTAACAGACGCTAAAATTAAAAGTAATCCAATGCATAGTAATAGGTATTGCTTAATTCGGAATTCCTCTTAAAATTACCTTTTCGATGATGCATCATACTTGGTACTTTCCCTATTTAAATTATTATATTAGTTAAAGTGACGGAGGGGAGAACAATTAAGATGATGAAAAGGTGAAATAAAAAACGGCCCATTTTTGCGTTTTTTTTTTTTTTTAATTATTCTTCAAGATATTTTGGGAAATTGCGGCCAACAACCCTTAATCAGAGATACAAGAAATAAATAATAGGGAACTTTTTACGAACTGAATATGGATGATAACTATCCCAAAAATAGGCAAGCTTCCAGTGATTCGCCATAGTAAAAATAATCAAATTTAGGTATCGCAGATATTTTAAGTTTACCTTCCAACCTGTAAATACAAACGGCGCAACTGTCACTAATAATCCTTCTTGAAAAGCAAGTAAGCTCGAAAAGTACAGTAGGGCGCAAATACCACACTTTTAGATAGTGACTGAAAGTACCACGGGCGCATCTAGCATATAGATTCAAGAGTAAATATTAAAATATGGAAAAAAATGAGATACACCCTTTGGGCTTAAGACGACAGTATTGCTTTCAATGAGCAATATGTTGCTATAAGAAATATTTTGATTTAGTTGTTATTCTCAGATTAATCATAAATCAAATTAAGTAAAGCTTATAGAATCTTAAAAATGGGTCTACAATTTAATGTGTCTGTGACTTTCCTTTTTTTATAAAGTGGAGATACTTATTTATATTATTTTATGATATTTGAAAACATATCTTCATTAAACCATATATACATATATAAACTAGTTGATCTGGCACAAACCTGAATTAAAAAATACTTAAATTTGAAATTTAAATTAAACCTAAAATGTGTGATACTGTGATATAGTATTTACATAACAAGTGTGGAAAGTATAACAAGTGTGGAAAGTGTAACGAGTTGTGTTCACTATTTTTCTTATGACCACTTAAAAAATCCTTAAAAAAAATGTCTTTTTCAAATAAGAAAGTGAATTAAACAATATCATACATGTACCGAAAAGTATATCACACATGTGTTGAAAAAAGTATATCAACACAAGTGTTGAAAAGTAAAAAATCCTCCAAAATATTTTTTATTTTGTAACAGTAGAGATGACAAGAACTAATAGAATAATAAGAAATATTTATAACTGGAGCAGAGATACTAACAGGATAATTAAAAAATATTTGTAACTAAATTAGAGTGAATGGGTAACTAATAGAATAATTAAGAAATATTTTTAACCAAGTATAGAATAATAACTACTAGAATTAAAAAGTATTTGTAACTAAATTAGATACCTAACAAGAACTGAATAATTATTAATAATTTTGTTTTACTTTTTTTTGGGATGTTATAAAAGTTAAGTTAAAAACTTTATTGCTTCTCATTTTATACATGTCGCAGGTCATAGGATGATATTTTTGTACTTTTCAATACATGTGTTTTGTTACTTTTCAAGACATGTGTGATATGTACTTCAGTACACGTGTGATATAAGCTACTTTCCTGAGTACAAATGAGTGTGCAAACGATCCATCTTCACATGTGATCATAGGAAAATACATTATAATTTTAAGTAAAAAGTTTGCTTACCTTGGTATTAATAGCTTTTGATTCTGGAGGTAAAGGTTCTTCTTTTTGCAACCTTAGTACTTCCATTGAAAGATGCAATTTAACAGAAATAGGTCTACTTTTTCCATCACTAACTGTTACCATCCCAGACCGGATTTTTAATTTCTCATCTACTTTTTCTTCAATTGGGGTAGTCATCCTGGTTGTATTTATCTTCATATTTTACTAAACAAAATCTGAAATAGTCAAAAGGTACAAGAGAAGGTAAAACACAGACACCAATTAAAATTTTATTATTTACATTGATCATGTAAGTAAAAAGCAGAAAAGATGTAATGGCATTTTTATTAGGAGTTAAAGAGCAAGTATTGAATTGATTTTTTCGATATTAGACATTCAATATTACCTCGTTTTCGACTCCTAAAAGTTATCCATGAATGACCCTTGTGTTCTGATTTCAATTGCAACCCTTCTGGTAGGAATAAGGAAATGTTTTTAGAAACTCGGCCATTTTTGGGGCTATAACCATTATTTGAAATTTATTCACTGACACACATATACAAAATCCTACAATCCAATCATATCCTCTGTTAGGGTAAAGAAGGAAGGGTACAGGATGATCCATTCAACAAATTCTAGGTTTGTTCTGGTTCTCAAAATGAAAACTGTTTTGAAACTGCGCCGGACCGTATGCGTAAAGGCAAAAAATCCCCGACTGTTTGAAATTGTTGGAAAACCAGAACACGTCATAAATGTGTTTTGTTTGTTTATTATAATAATGAAGTTCCTTTTGAAAGCTCAGCTTCAAATAACATTTGCATGTATATGTTTACCATTATCATCACATTTCAATGGAATAAATAAAAACAATAATATTAAAAAATTAATAATTCTAAAATTGCTTTAATTTACAAATAAAACAAGAACAAGAGACATTCGTCCACATATAAATAAACAATTTGGGATTGTATACGTTTCGTATAGTCTAAAAAGCCAATACAATATTCATAACACTTCAAAAACGCATGCGCGGTCAAAACAGTCCGAGTCGATCCACACTCCCAAGCATGAACACTTTTTGACTGTTTACAACAATCACGGATTATTTCGGATACGAAACCAGAACACCGGACTGAGAGATCCGAAGTAGTCCCAGAAAAACCAGAACACTTTTTATCTACTGCGCATGAGCCCGACAGTTGTGGATCGTTATTTCTCAAAACCAGAACAGACCTTCTGACAATCTGCTTCTGACCCTTTGAGTTTGAGTGGACTTTTCGCGCAAGTTGCGTACTTCGCAACTCCACTTTTCAAAGTTCATAACGTCTTATTAAAAATAAAAATCTATTATCTATTTATTTACTGCAAACACTGAAGTTACTTTTTATGTTTACAGAAAACACAACAACAAATAAGAAAAACGTTTTTGACAAATCAAAATAACGTAATATTGGTTGCATACCATTGATTTTGAATGTGTCAAATATGGGTGAAATAAAAAAAATATAAGAAATAAGTTAAGATCTAAAGTTTTCCTCAAACTGTGGTAGATGCAGGAGTCCAATAAATAATCAAATAATTTAGTTTGTATTTTGTATAATTTTATAAACATATTTTTTCATTTTAGATCTCGACTGAATACTGAACACGGTGTAACTCAAATTAAAAAGAAGATTATTTCTAGAATGTTAATAAAATATTTCAGAACTAGATGGCTGTGATCGCGATTTCGAGACGAAGCTGACGCCATTTCAAATTTTTCGAATGTTTGATATGCTAAAATTAAGTGAATTTTCTGTATTCAGGTGAGATTTTTAGTACCTAATGCTGTTTATCTAACTTAGGTATAACTTAAAACTGTATTTAAAAAGCCGCCTACATATTTGCAGATAATGTAAAGCGACGTCAACAAATGTATGATTTAAAATTCATCTCAATAATAGGTATTCATTATATAAACCTGCTTTACACTCAAATATCTATTATGCTACTTATTATGTTTAAAGGAAACACACAACACAACAACAAAAACCTTTTTTTTGACAAATTAATATAACTGATTATATATAGGTACCATGGATTTTGAATGCGTCAAATGAAAAGTAAGAAAGTTAAAATCTAGTTTCCCTGACACTGTGGTAGAACTTCAATAAATAATTTAATAACTTGTATCTTGTATTATTTAACGCATAAACCATAAACATTTTTTAATATTTAGATTTTGACTGAGTAGGTACTATATACGGTATAGGTTAAATTAAAAAGAAGATTATTTCTAGAAAGTTACTAAAATATTTCAAAACTAGGTGGCTGTGATCGCGATTTCGAGACGAAGCTGACGCCATTTCAAATTTTTCGAATGTTTGATATGCTAAAATTAAGTGAAAATTCTGTATTCAGGTGAGATTCTTATTAGTACATAATGCTGTTTATCTAAATAACATATTACCATTGCTAACGTCTTATGTTTAACTTAAAACTGTATTTAAACAGCCGTATATAATGTAAAGGAACGCCAACAGTAAAATATATGATTTAAAATGATCAATATAGGTAGGTAGGTATTCTTTATATAAACTTGCTTTTTAGCCAAATATTTATAATATATTTATCTATAGGGTATTGCCACCTAAAAGATCCTATTGTGTCCCTTTCTGTCGCTATAATAGAGCAAGGGAATAGTATCGGTGCCTATAATGACCCTTCCAATCCTATTTTCTTCAGGAAATGTAGGATTTGAAGTGGCTTCAAGTTAGGTGTATCGCCCTCCTCTATTTTAAATGATCCCAAAAGTATATGTCTCCAAGGAGTGCCGGATTGATACACATGTTACACGCATTCAGTATTCAGATTCAATCAGAATGTGAATGAAGGTTTCGTCCCCCTCTTCACAGAAACTATACTCACATTACTTCTACTTATCTGTTTACTAAGGTAGTGCCCTTTGAGTCGGATAAGGATCTCTGTTACAAAAGTTTTATAGCCTGTTCTTGCTCTGACAGATACACAGCTGTATAGGCTTTCGATATTTTTTTGTTATAGTCACCCAGAAGTTTAGCCTGTTCTAGCCTCAAGAGATTATTCAAATCAACGGCTCTTCTATAATGCCCAATTATTTTTTAATCTTTCCTCTAGGTATTTTGTTACTGTTGATAAGTAGGTACCTATACCACAAAAGGCTCAGGTTCCACAAAGGGTGTTTGAGTCCCCTTTCCTTGCTAGACTAACTGCAAGTTTGTTATCTTTTACCCCTTTTTGTGTCCCAGGACCAACAGGGCCGCCGAGAGCCAGGCCCGGGCCCCAGAGGACAATTCTCTAGATCGGGCCCCGTGACAAATAAAAAATATTCTCTGCTCTTACTTAAATTTCTCTACAAAAAAAAAACTTCAAACAAAAACTTTTCCTCCTCTACTTGAATTACATTTTCTAGTGAGAGTAACTGTATTTTCCTCGCCTAGCAAGTAACCCCATTTATAACCAATTTACCTATGATCTTTGGTAGTAAACAATCAAGTAAATGCACAGTGCCGGATTCACACATTTTGATTTCCCACTCACAAACTATTTTTTTTATTTTAGATTTGGAAGCGAACCGTTTTAGGCGCGAACTAAGGGGGCCGCCCTCCCAAAAACGTGTGAACGTCGTGAAAAAAATACATTTGAAATAAATCGATATTTTTCCCGTAGTGGCTCATCATAAAGTGTCAAATTAGAAGAACATGAACACATCATTGGACTTCAGAGACAGGTGAGGACCCTTTTTTATCATTATATTTTGAGATTTTTAGGGTACAATAAAGACACCGTGTGTAGCATTTTTAATTTTATTATTAAATTTTACTTACTTTTTCTCCAATTAATAATGGGACACAGAACAACTGAAGATTCTCTGATAAAAAATAAGACAATTAAAGGAAATATAGTTAGATAAAATATTACACGTTTCCGAAATAGAGGGTGTTAAAGTTAAAAATTCACAAATTATTATATATAATGAATATATTTTTTTTATTTTCCAGTATAATTTTATTAAATTTGGCAAACATTTTTGGTGTTAGAAGATACACTTAACAGCAAAAAAAATCAGTTAAATAAACTTTGCTAGTGATGTATGGCAAGGGTAAGTATAACACCTGCATTTAAATTTTACCCCTTTGTCCAAAAACTTATTTGTACTATAATTTTAAATGTTTTGGTTTTTAAAAAATGATGTACTCTGGAAACTCATAAAGTAATTGGTATTCACTCTCTAGATTCTTCATTTTAATTTATTTCTTAATTTTGGATTTTTTTTATAAATTCCCAATACATACGTGATTTATTTAAAAAACATCAAATACCAAATAAGTGTTTGGAAAGTGGCGAAACATTTAGAAGTGATAAGGGATGAAGGTGTTACTTATACCAATGCCGTACGAAACTGGTAAAGTTTATTTAACTGATTTTTTTTTACTGATAGGAGTATCTTATGACACCAAAAACGTTTGCCGAATTTAGTAAAATTATACTAATTAAAAAATTATAGCCATTAATATTTTATGAATTTTCCAACTGTAACTCCCTGTATTTCGGAAACGAGTAATATTTTATGCAAGCATGTTTTAATCGTCTTATTTTTAATCAGAGAATCTTCAGTTTGTCTATGTCCCATTCTAAAAGAGACGCTGTATACATATAATCACTAAAAATCCAAACTATCAATTTTATTATCTTAATTTTCTTTAGTAGACCCTCATTATATGTTTTTATAATACATGGTGCATCCTAAGTTTATACTTTTTTTTAACTCTGTATAGAGATATAAAATAAACAATTGTTTCAAATAACTTTTTCAAAAAAACTCAAAAATAAGAATCTTAGGTACATTAATTTATTCCAAAATGTATACAAAACTGTATAACTTTCGTCGAAAAATGTTTCATTCATGCCGTTATAAGAATCATTCACAAAACAACTCTGCACGGGAAATGTTCAAGTTGAACGTGAAATAGAGATACAACTGATTTTCCTTCAGTTGTCCATACTTATCTTTGACTTATCTCACCTGATCTGCAATTGTCCGCCCACTTGTTGGATCTTCCTCGATAACATTATTTCAAATTTGTTATAAACGCACTTCATTTTCAATTTCCCATACTGAACGGATAAACACACTACTAATCTACTGAAATCAAGCTACTGAATTACAAAAATTGGTACACCTGAATTGTGATTCATCATAAGAAAAAACAGATATTTTTAACTTTTATTATACAAGTCCAGGCCCGGATTTATATTTTTTATTTCTATATCTTTCTTATTTTTGAGTTAAAAAGTTATTTGAAAAAGATGTTTATTTTTACGACTTCTATACACAGTTGAAAAAGTATTAACTTTACCCTGTATATTCTTTTTCATTTTCAATTCACTTCTTCTGTCACCTATAATTATAATTTTCTTCGGTGTACTTTATTTCGTCTGTTATTATCCTCCGTTTTCTTTTGCTTACGGTTAGTTTTACAAAGCAAGCTTCAACATTAGCGATTTTTCAAAGGAGCGGATTTTAAAGAGCTTGCTAATGGAACTTTAGTCCTTAGAAACACGGGTACTGGCCAGAGTTTTTACTAGAGATAGGGGTCAACAGGCTGTACTCTAGGAAATGTTGGTGAGGTGAATGTTCATAAAAGGGTCGCTTCGCTAGGGAAACATAATGGAAAAGATGCAGAGGCCATAATAGAAGCATTCCAGATCACCAACGATCCTGGAGACAACTGAAAGATCACATGAGTTATTTTTAGTTGTTTGCTCTTTCTAACTTTCCTCCATTATTTCATTATAACACGACCCAAAAGTGACTTACCGGTCCAGTTAACTCCTATCCGTACACGTCCAGCTTACAAATATATTGTTTTTTGTCTTTTTACACATTTAAAGTTTGTTTTTTGGTAAAAAATTGATTTAAATTAACCGTACACGTCCAGTTTCCAAATACATTGTTTGGTCTTTTTACACATTTAAAGTTTGTTTTTGGTAAAAAAATTGTTTTTTTTAGGTGAGTGATAACTATATAATTCTGCTGCTAGACTACAACTTGATTATTCAATTGGATAATATAGGTAAATTATGCATAACTTAAATTTATATAATATATTCTATTTGAAAATGTTTCTGTCGAAAACAGTGGTGCATCTAGAGTTTAAGTCTGCTAGGGGTAGTGGTAATAATAAATTTTTAGTACTTACCTATACAAAGATAGGTTTAAAAATTCTTTGGGAGGGTAATTATACCCCCTCGTATATGCGTCCCTGGTCGAAAATTGAAAAATAATTAGCTATATATACAGGGTAGCTGTTAAAGATGGAACCAAACCTATAGTGCTTAAACGGTTCAACACACAAAACCCAAAATTTTAGAATTTTAACTAAATATATTTGCGCATATTTTAGCCCAAAAATTATTTTTTTTATGATAACAAAATTTTAAGCATGGCCGCCATCTTGATTTTTTTAAATAGCAACATAGGTCATGTGATATACCATTTAAAAGGGTTTAACACCCTGATTACAAAAATGTATCACATGCGGTGTAAACACAACAGAAATGATATTATTAATAGGGAGCGTAGGAGGCTGTGCATTTGACACAAGACGTCAAATATTATAACAACATTTATTGTTGGTTAAGTTGCAAGAGACAGGTGTCGAATAGTAAAATAATTTGTTAAATTGAATCATTTCAAAGTAATTAGTAATAATGAATCAATTGACCAAAAATGAAAGAATTGAAATACTCATGATGGTTGAGTATGGAGAAAGAAAACGCACGCACGAAGAGGTAGCCAATTTCTGTTTAGACCCCATGTGTGATACATGTTTGTAATCAGGGTGTTAAACCCTTTCAAATGACATATCACATGACCTATGTTGCTATTTAAAAAAATCAAGATGGCGGCCATGCTTAAAATTTTGTAATTATAAAAAAAATAATTTTTTGGCTAAAATATGCGCAAATGTATTTAGTTGAAATTCTGAAATTTTGGGTTTTGTATGTTGAACCGTTTAAGCACTATAGGTTTGGTTCCATCTTTAACAGCTACCCTGTATATTTACCCAGACAGCACACATATAGTCCAGTGGACGTCCACTTTAGATCAATTTTAGGGTCAGAACGTCCATATCCATATTCGGCATCCAGTGTACGTCCGTTTATGATCATTAATTTGACAGCTGCATATCAATACTCAGAGGACGTCTATTTTTTAAGCTAAGTAGTTTTTTGACGTCCAGTGGACGTCCATCTTAGGACATTATTTATTTAGCTTAACAGATAATACCCATCTACACTTTATATATATATATATTTTTTTAATTTAATTGGTCATTAAAAATTGAAAAATTAAATCTATTGCATTTCATTCTATCAACGGAAGTTTGAAATCTTATTCTATTATAACCATATCTAGTAAAAAGTTTTCAAGTGGACCGTTTTGGTCGAGATCGTCTAGCGGTTAAAAGCGCGTTCGGACGTGTCAAGAGATTGAATAAAAAAAAAAAGAAATGGTGTATAGTGGGTTGCAAAAATAATAAATAAATTATTAATATAAAATAGTGTGTGGGGAGTTGCGGTTGTGTAAAAAATTGGAATGTGGTCTCAATTGAATATTATCCAGAAATGGACGTTTTTTGAATGTCCTGTATTTAACGTCCAAATATAATTCAGAAAGGGACTTCCTCTGGATGGTCAAGTGTGCCATTTGTACAGTTCACTGGATATCGGAAGTCCAGAAGAAACTAATTTTTGAACATCCAGACATCCAAAATTATATACCGAATAGATGTCCAATGGAAATATTTGTGCTGTCTGGGTTATTATTTTACTATTATAGGTCTCCTCACTAATTTTACGCCGGAATTGAGATTTTCCTGAAACTCAGATTTATATAGATAGATTTATTAAAGTTTTTGGGGTACCTATTTACAGAGGTGCCATATTTCATTGTTTAAATTATGTTTCTTTATATTGACATTTTTGATCAAATATTTTAATATAAACTGAAGAAATAAGCAAAATATTAAATAATTATTTAAAAATTATATACCGGGTGTTCAAATTAAAGTGTTACAGTTAAATACCGCCAAAATATGGATTTTATAAAAAAAGTTTCAGACAAAAGTTTTATTGTGTTTTGGAAGAAACATTTTTGCAAAATTCATTTTTTAGAGCTAACCATAATATGGCCGTATCGAGGTGGACTTTTTTTATTTCAGATGGGAACCTCATTTTTTTTACATATAAAAAAATAAGAAACTTTTAAAGGAAACATTTTTTTTATTGGACTTTTACTTATTGAGTAACACCTACTTGAAAATTGTGCTGCGCGAAAAAAAAGTTGGCCATATTATGGTTAGCTATAAAAAAAGATTTTAACCAAAATGTTTACCCAAAAAAATATATAAAACTTTCGTCTGAAACGTTTTTTAAAAGGTATTTAACTGTAACACTTTAATTTGAACACCCGGTATATGATACACACACGCAAATATAGACCTAAAATATGTTTATAAAATATCACAAGTTTTGACGTTCTTTCTTTTGAATTGTTTTTAAAGTGATCTACTTCATAAAAATAATACTTTTTTTATTTTTAAAAGATTAACTACACCATGTTTATGCTGCTTACAAATTTAATATTTAGGTATTTTGATTCTCATTTTCCTGACACGATTTAAATACCTTGTAAGCTATATCCCTATTTTTTATTTTATTGTCTACCAGCAATTTTGATTTACCTAATCAAAATGAGATACTATATTGTTAAAATGATTGATGATATTTCGTCAAAAATAGTTAATACGATTTTATAAATAATTAATAATATATTCAATTAAAGTTATCAAAACCATATAAGCAGAACACTCTGTAAGATAAACAAATATTTAAATATATAGGTACTGCATGTAATAAATGAAAATATTTACGTTATAATTAAATTTCCTATATTAAACGTTAATCAAAAGGAAAAATATAAAACTTTTATTTTCCTCTTTCTTGTCATATCAACTCTTTGTTTCTATTTCTCCGATTGTGGCAAACCTGATGTAGATTTGAATCTGTTAACAAATTAATGATCTTTACTGAAACTTCAAAATATAATTTTTATACATTCAGCCCAGCAATAATAACTCACTTTTGTTTTTCCAATCACCCATCTATTAGTTGTATCCATTTCGATCCAATAATAATTCTATAAAGTTTCACTACTACATAGTAGTTCCATTGTATAAAGGTACAATAGTAGTTTTTTAATGATACAATGATATCGCAAATCTGTATTATGGCGTTTGCCATTGGGGATGTTCAGTGCGTTCTCAGTGTATTCTCACTTTCTTTTTTCATATAGATAAACAAGGACAAAAATATGCTTAGTGCATAGTGCCAGTGCCAATAGAAAACGCCATTAGATTCAGAGTTCTGTAGCTGAAAACTATTAAGAAATTAATCTACGGTTAAAAAGTTTACCACTATTTATGAAACGTGTACTTTATATATTATATGTAAAAACAATTTAATTTATTATACATTTTATTGGTCTTCAAAAAAAATATATAAAAAAACTTATTAATAACATAAAAAAATAACCAAAATGGTTCATAATTATCTCTCTTTGTAAAGAGGGGAGGATGGGTTGCCCCACAGCATTTGAGCCTTACTAGGCCCATCGTGCAACCTCCAAGGGCATATAGGACCTGCCTCTTAGCTCCTAAAAAAGCCTACTGATTAACAAGTTACCAAGAGGTGTATAGGAATAGCCATCCTCTCAGCTCATCAAATTCTTGCAGGCTAATAACGTCGCCGAGGGGTGTCTCTAGATGCCCCCATTTCTGGACGTGGCCATTTGGTGGGCTTCTACCACCCCGATGGTAAATGCCCGGGTGGAGCTATATTCTGTATGCCCGCTCCACAGGGCATTGGTTTATAATTATAAAACATTTCAATTTAATTTAGAATGCAAAGCATTATTGACCTTAGAAGCAGGTACTTTTTTGATATAATCACTGATATACCGCCCTGCTTTAATTAACTTTTTCAAATCGACTCCTGTATTCACACCCATACCTTCTAACATATAAACTAAATCTTCTGTAGCAACATTACCAGTAGCGCCTCTGGCATATGGACAACCCCCTAAACCAGCAACTGCCGCGTCTACCACTGTTATGCCTTGTTCAAGAGCTACAAGAATATTTACTAAAGCTTGACCATAAGTATCGTGACAGTGGATAGCTAATTTATCAGATGTGGTTGTTTTTAAAACATCTTGTAGCATATTATGTACCGTTATTTTAGTTCCCACCCCTATTGTATCCCCTAGTGATATTTCGTAGCAGCCCATTGTTAATAAAGTTTCTGTCAATTTTGCTACAGATGATGGAGGTACTTTTCCATCATATGGACATCCTATTACACAAGAAACATAACCTCTAACTTTAATATTATTTTCTTTGGCTAAATCTATAACTTCTTTGGTCCTATTCAGACTTTCTTGTATTGTACAGTTGGTGTTTTTTCTTGAAAACCCTTCTGAAGCTGCTATGAAAATTGCTACTTCTTCTGCACCCACTTTCAACTAAAAAAAAATTGATTAAGTTGAAATAATCTAAATCAATCAAGAATAGAAATTTTGAAACAAGTTAAACTCTATCTATCTGGACAGACATTTTCTAAAAAACCGAGATAAAGGATCTCATGCTTATCTTATTCAAACGGGAGCATTGTCAAATTGTCTGAATTTTTTGTTATAGTAGGTACTTTGTCATAATTAAAAGTTTCCATGGGTTCAATTTTATACTAGAGCTATATTTCTGAATTCTTTAAAATAATGAACACTAAAAACTACCACTTAAGTCTTAGAAACTTTATTATTTTTTGGCATATTTTGATAAAGAAATAACTATAAAGGTAACATGAAAGGGTTGTTCTAATTATAATTTCTTTTCTGAATAACCTTATGAGGTTTTTGGTTATTTAATAATAAAGTAAGTATTTAAATGCTGTAATTGTCGAAACGGTGAAAAATGTTAATTTTTTTAAAGATCAGATTGGGACCTCCAGGGCCTACCGGTTCAAGAGGTAGAAGGGCCCACATCACTTTTTTTCATGGTCGCAAAAAGGTCCTCTTCAAGATGCTTTTCCGAGGTTGCCACTTATTAAGGGGTTTCTTCACCTTTCATTCTTTATTCTTCTGAAGGGCCCACTGCCTGAACAAGGGCCCACTGAGTGAACGAGTGCCCACTGACTGAACGAGTGCCCACTGACTGAACGAGTGCCCACTGACTGAACGAGTGCCCACTGACTGAACGAAGGCCTACCGTTCTTTGGACCGGTAGACTGATGACCCAATCCAACACTGAATGTACTACAATTTAATATTGTTTTAAAACCTTGAAGTTTTATCGCATTTACTTTTGTAGTTTATAGCAGGTACTTACTTTAATCTATTTTTAATTTTTATTCAATTATTTTGTAAATCACAAAGTTGATAGTTCATTCTTGCATCAAATAAATCTGGGAACAAACCCAAAAACTTATAAAACTTTTAAGCATTATTTGCGATTTAAATTAATTTTCAAGTTTGTTTTTTATAGAAATAGGTACCTATTTAAATTGTTATTTTTATATTCCTAGGTGTTTTCAATTATAAAATAGCTCGTAAAATATGTATGCATGTTAGTATTAAAATTTATATATTTCTAAATCCCCAAAATATTTTGAATTTTCTGTGTAGAAAAACCTTACGGCTAATTTGCATCCCTGTATATTTGGCACTAATACTGGATATGTAACACCTGTTTCCTTTTTAATTCCGGAAAAAACTTCTGCATTATCCCCCATTTGGGGTATCCATTTTGGACTTACAAAACTACAATTAAAAAATCAATAGAACCTACTTCATGTTTATTAATTTTTGCACATACCTTGTAACCTCTATTGTTCTTAAACCAGTTTGGGATAGTTGATTAATAAATTCGATTTTAACATCTGGATGAACTTTAACAGATTCGTTTTGCAAACCATCTCTAGGCCCCACTTCGACTATTCGTACCGGTACTGAACTTTTGTTCTAAAAAAGGCATTTGTTTATAAACAAAAATTTACAACATAAAACTTAACCTCACTTACTCTTAAATTTTGGTTTTTAAAAAGAGATCGTATAAGAATTTTGTTGCAGATTGATCGAAAAGCCATTTTCAAAAATAAATTTCTCAGTCAACAGATTCAAAATAATTGAAGATAACATAATCGTTTGATGATAACAAAATGTACATTGTTTAGAATAGTATACTTAAATTATGCTTGCTTACATTATCGTCAAGGGCAAATGTCACAAAGTGTTGCAAAAAGGGAGGGTACGACGTACTTAACTTACAATTCGGGTATTGATTTGTGGACTTTTAGAAATATATTTCTGTTGAAATATGGATTTTTATCATATTGAGTATTTAAATTATATTTCTATTACAGAATACAGAACAACTGGGTTTCTTCTCTGTAATATCTAATCTTAGAAAACTATAACCGTGAAGTATTCAGTAATTACCTATACATTAATATAGGTGGCGCTACCGGTTCAGTGTGTGATTAAATTGATGCTCAGTTCATAATAGCAAATGGCCATTGTATTTAGATATTTAACAATGAAACAATTTGAATTGCTAGATTTATGAAAGTGAAAAGCGTGATAATACCAACCATTTTATATAATCGGGTCCATTATTTGTGAAATTTAAAAAAAAAGGTACTTAGCTTGTATTTTCCGTAAACGAGGGTCCTTTAGCCGAAATTTTTCTAAAAAAGTCTTCACCTTATATTTTTCTATAAATCCAGTTCCTCCGTTACACTTACGGCTTTGAATATTAAAAAGCGTGGCATTTGCATAAAAAAAGAGTGGCATTTTTGCCAAAAGCGGGACATTTTCGTACTGTGCCGTTGAGCGTACAAGCAAATCAAAAAGCGTGAAAACTACGCCTAACGCGTAACGTCTGGCAACCCTAGAAACAATGATAATAGTTAATCATTAGGGTTATCCATATATACATAAAATGCTGTTATCCATTCACAGGCGCTCTCACAAGTCACAACACAAAACATTCACACGCTTTCCGACAGCAAAGCAATATAAATGTATAAGGTGTTTAATACACTGGGACCTAAAATATCTATTGTGCCCCCTTCTGCTGCTAAGGAAGCAATGGAATAATATCGATGTCTATTACGACCATTCCAAATGCTATCTTCCTAAGGATCTCTAGGATTTGAAGAGGCTCCAAGCGGGATGCTTAATCCCCTTTCCTTGCGAGACTATCTGATGCAGTCTTGTTACTCTTCACTTCCAGGGAACCAAGTGAGAATAACTGTATATTCCTCATCTAGCTTATTCCGTTTTTCTCCAGAACATTTTTGAGACGATTACATAAGATCTCTTTGATGACGGACATGATGATAATCTATTGTCTTCCATAGTTTTTATCGATATTGAACTTAATATACCTCCCATTATCGTACATTTTCGCCTAGAAGATGCTTGGGTATTTACTCAAACTTTTAGAGTAAGTACTTGGTTGTACGGCAATACATTTGTATACCTCTGAATTTCATGCTTTTCGATCGCACACACGACTTATTCTTGGCTCAATTCTTGAGTAGGTGAGATGGAACGGCGGTTCTATTTTGAGTTTATCCAAAGGAGTGACCTTTGCCTGTCTAAGGTCAAACGACCTCAAATGAGAAAGCTAGCTATTTAGAATGATCTGTCAAGGTGGGGTCACAACATTCCCGTCTATCGGAGAAACGTACTGGATTTAGACTCGCCCGATATAAGCTGCAGGGCCTGCCACAAGGCAGAAAGAGACCATCATTTGTGGAAAACGAAAAATGCTATATATACTGGAATTACTAGTCACCTACTCTTAGATATTTGCAAACAAATTAGCTTGATCATACAGTACGGTTGGTGGTTTTGATGATTGCTTGTATAGGTGGTATAAAGAATTCACTGCTGTCAAAACTAAAGACCATATGGGTCGAATCCATGTATAAAACCTTTTTTTTTTTCAGAATTATAGGAATATTAGTGAAATAAAATTGAGGACTTATTTATAAATATTTATTTAACTTGATTATATTATAATCTTACTCTTAGTAGAAAATAATTTAAAATTAAATAATAACAAGTACCATATTACAGTGTCTACTGTAAACCAGTATTGAAATAGTATTTTTAAATAATTAAAATATAAAGAGATATAATTAAATCGACTAGCTAAAGATAATATTAACGTTTTTTACAGTAATCATTTAAATTACAATAATTTAAAGTAGATATTTTCCCTTTTTTTTGTACATACATGCAGAAAAGCCACATTTAACACTGAATTTATAATTGTATAATGTAGACAATCAACTAGGGGTACTACAATAATTGTTTTTTATAATTGTCATAGTAGATATATTAAAGATCTCAACGTCAAATAGGCTAGAAATTGTCACATGAGGCACAAGCAAAATCTCTGGACGGATTGTGCAAAATATAAACTTTATATTATGACTAGAAAGAAGTCTTTTATGCACCTCCTTTAGTTTACCCAAACGTCGTTTTAAAAGTCTTAAATTTACGTATACAGGTTATTTGAATTTTAGAATATTTTAAGTCTAGCCCTTTTAAGCTTCTTGTATAAGTTTTATATAAATAAATATCTAAATATACACTCATGTAATATTTAACAGTGATATAGGACACATATTTTGACAATTGTCAATCACATGGATACCGAAGCAATACATTATAATATACTATTTTTTTTTATTATAGGTACATGTGTACTTTTAATTATTTTCAGAAGGTACATTTTTATTGTGCTTAAACATCTATGTGCGACATATATCTGAACAAACTTTGAACTTATTTGAGAAATGTGAAACAGCTCACTTGCATATTTCCTAGTAGTGTAGGTTCCTAGCTGAGAAATATACAGGGCATTACTACTTGTGTATACATGTCTACGCAGATAACTGGTTACAATAGAGAAAATAAGTATTTATAATGTATAAAATGATCTTAAAAGTAGTAGGGAGACCTCTATTATAAATAAAATTTAACATATAGAAATAAATATCAGTGAAAATGGGTACAAATTATACATTGTTTTTATATTACATAAAGTAAATGACTTAAGTATTGTACATATATTTCTTTGGATAGGTACTAGTAAATTAACTGTTTTTTTTTGTGCTTTATACATTTTTTTTTATATTTTACAAGTATTTTATTTGACTTTCTGTAGGGAGCAAGATTGTCCAAAATATTAATAAAAGATCAAATTATATTGTCAATCCTTTTAAACTTAATACTGGCGTCATTTTTTAGTGACGCGAAGTCAATATTTTGGTATAAATTTTACATACCTAATAAAATATACTTTTAAGTACTATTGATAATAAAAGACTAGAACTATATACTTTCAAAACTAATGAAATAATTTACTTAATTTAGTTTCAAAAAGTATTGCACTTCTTTTGCAGTACAACAATTAAACTATCTGCAAAAGTAGTAGCAATTTTGAAGTCTGTTATTTTTCATTGAGCATTGACGTTTTTATTAAGTGGTAACTAAACTGGAATTATTTACTACAAATAAATTAATTTATTTAAAATTGCACCTACACTCAAAGAGGCAAAACTTATCCTCGGCAATTTTCAGTTGGTGCAGTCTTCAACAGATCTACGTTAAATATCAAAAATTTTAAATATTTTCCATATAAAATGAAAATAGCATTGTCATATCAAAATATCTTCCGATACTAAAATCTGTATCAAACAGATACTAATTCAGCATTGATATGATTATTACCAAATGATTTAAGTACATTTTCTTCTCACTATCTATTATATACTGTAATCACTAAATAATTTGCGTTTTGTATGCAAATTTTATGAATTATCTTTGTTATTGTAATCTAGCTTCTTGTAGAGTTTGCGCCTGAGCAGCTGTCTGATAAGGGATTCCCGCAAAAGCCCCTGCGGTTGCAGTTTGCAGCCCCGGTGTCTGAGGCAATGCTGCATAGGTGTATGGCATGTAACTAGCAGCACCTAAAAATAAAACAAAATGTTATAGAAATATTTACACATTTGTTAATTTGTAGAAATTTTTTAAAACCATTTTTAATGTCAAATGTAGCATTAGACACTGTAGAAGATCCACAAATGCTACGAACACCTTTTAGGGCATCATGGATTAGAAAAGAAGAAATATTTCCATTTAAAAAGAGTCCTGTTAGTATATTTCCGTGTTTATCAAGCCATTTTACGAATTTCAAGTGGTGTCTGGTATACAATTTTGATTATAAATGTCATTGGATTTTCCGATGTATTTTTAACCGCCACGTTCAGTTGACATCAAATTTTGTAACGCACATAGATAGGAAGCCAAAATAATTTGGCAAAACTATCTTCGCCATTACAATAGGATATATTACAAAAATAAATATGCAGTTTTACGTTCCTAGTTGACATGTTAAGGATGATTTGCTAGTGAATAATTGATTTACAGATCTGTCTTTTTAAAAGTGATGTTACGGTCTACAGGAAAGATTCTGCAACATTTATTTATTTATTTTATTTATTAAATACACTATTCTACAAGTAATACCCAATTACAGAATAGGAAAATATGACAAACATATTTAGACGAAACATACAAAAATGGAAAATATTACAGGAAATTAAGTACAATGATGGTTATCCTAAATAATGCCTTTTGATATCCTGAATACTAATGTGGAATATATCTAATTCCTGACTTATCTGGTACGAGGTATTGGTAAGTAAAACGAGTCAGTGTATCTTGAGGCTTGACTTTTAAATTAAGCATATGTAATAGACATCCGCAGTTTATTTGATTGCTTATGACCTTATGCAGCATAACTACAGAAAAATATTTTCGCCTTATATCGAGAGTTGAAAATCCATGTTTATTTAATAAAGCGTCGTGTGGGGTGCCAATGGGTGGATAAACTAGATCATATCTAAAACTTAAGTATTTTAGGAATCGTCTCTGAATTCCTTCCAATCGACCAATGTGTACTTGATACAATGGACTCCATATAAGTGACGCGTTTTTCAAGCAGACATTTTATGGTATCTATTTTCTTAAAATCACGACTGTTTCTGATTATGAATTCATATATATGATTAGATGAAGATGCAATACTATCGACATGGTCAGTAAAAGAAAGTGCTGAATCAAATAGGACTCCTAAATCTGCGAAGTTTTTTGGTCTGTTTAAGGGAGTTTCGTTAACAATATAATGGTAAAAAGTTGGATCTGACTTTAAGGAGTACGACATTACATTGCACTTGGCTGGGTTCAATTTTAAATTATTTCTATGGCACCATTCATTAACTTGTTTTAGATTTTCAGAAAGTCGCTCGCAGTCAGCAATACTATTTATGGAAGCATAAATGTCATTTATAAAAATATTAAACATGAGCGGGCCAAGATTCGACCCTTGAGGGACACCCGATGTGGCAAGGTACTTAACAGACTTGAACCCATTGAGCTGAACGTATTGTGAACGGTTACACAAATATGATTTTAGTAAATCAATAAGACTATCTGAGAGTCCAAAAGCAGACAGTTTTTTTTATAACACAATGACTTTAAATTCCACAGTAATATTTTCCGTACTTAATAAATAGCACCAAAGCAAAAATCAGCGTCAGGTCTGGTGAACGCGCAGGCCAAATAATAAGGCCTATGTTTTCAATCCATTCATTTGGATACAGTCTGTTTATAGGTAATTTGTCACAAGTTGTGCATTGTCCTCATCTTGTTGCCAAACTAGGACTTGCCTTTGATTTAGAGCAGGGATTCCCAAAGTGTTCGATACCGTCCCCTTAGGGTCGAAATCGGTTTCCCAACGGTCTACTTAAATAAAAACTAATTTTGGGGGTCGACGAGGTCTAAAAATTGAGTCCTATTAATTAACACAAGTTCTTATTTGAAACTTTCAAGATACTGTATAAGTTATGTTACGTGTACCAACGTGTTATAAGAATGACTAATATTTTAGTAGGAAATATCATTGTTGTACTTTTAAAAAAGTCAATAAGCGTGGACAAGTTCGTGCCAGATAATGAGTTTGAGTGTACAAGTCGTTCAGCCACGTTTAACTTGCTCTGTATTTGACGCATATACGCAATTTAACACGAACAAAATAATGATCAAGTTCAAGTAAAAACCTGCTCATGATAATTTACTATATAACAAGCTTGCACTTAGGTTGCGTTTTGAAATTCGTTGGAGCTTGAATGATAATACACTCATCTACTCATTTATTTCAATAGATTACCAAAGTGATTACATAGTTAAATAAAGTGATTGAAAAATAATTTACAAAGTGCTTAGTTACCTACGCGCGATAATAGCGTAACCATACGTTTGTGGAGTTTATGACAGGGTAAGTCCTTTTTGAAATTACTTTAGAAAAGTTGTTACCTAAAATTATAAATGTTCAGTTTTCTTTGTTTTCGTTTTTTTACGCTGATTGGTACCAAATACTTTTAACCAAAGCAGCGACCCAGACGTTCCATATCAAAATGGAGATGGAAGCAGACAGCGGTGTTGCTTAATATGTTTTCGGAAAAAAAATTACACCGGAGGTCATTTTAAAACTGTGGAACCGTAGGGCAATCAATAGGAACACTCCAACTATATCAACGTGCTGCACGCTATTGAACGTCTGTAATGAGTGATGCTTCATATGTATTCATAGTACCATTAGTCGTGTGTAGCAAGATAATCGAGAACTTGTCGTTCCTATTTTTTAGCCGCGTGCGATCATGCGACAGAACCGCGATAATGGGCTTTAATTAATTTAAATACATCTGCAATTTTGCCACGCAATGCGTTGCGCTAGTGGGCTTCCTCTCTTACTAATAGCGAAGTCGGGGAAACCCCAAACAATTGGAGAGCAGCTTCCTTAGAGCAATAACACCGTTCAGAGACGAAGAGACGAGATGGGTCGAGACGTGAAAAACATTTTATGCAATTTCTTACACACCAACAGATTTTCTTTCCAGTTGGACGAGTCTACATTACCTGGCTATGAAGCTCTGTTAAATTAAAGATGAAAATATGTGCCAATAACTGATTTTTGCTACATATTTAGAGACTGATACCAGAGGAGAATCGATTTTTCAGGCCGTGGAACGTTTTTTACCGACAAAGCTATTCCATGGAAGAACATTGTTTCTGTTGCGACTGATCGTGCACCATCTATGGTTGGCCGCAATCGTGATTTTATAACTCACTTAAAGTGATAACTGCCTGTGTGATCCACATACAGGATTTAGTAGCAAAAAATCTTAAGTCCTAGATTGTACCAGTCTTTACAATATATTATAAATGCTGTCAACAAGATTCGAAGCAATTCTTTGAACTGTTGGTTATTTGCTCAGCTACGTGAGGAAAACTTGATTGATATCTTTGGTATATTCAACAAAGTGACGATCTCAACTTGATTAAAACAAAATAAATAATATCGGCCTCTGTGGGTAAATTTATCCTTTATAAACAAAATTTAAGCAGAAAATAATATTCAGTTTCAGCATTTGACAAAATTATCATAAATGTTTTAAGACGATGTTATTTTATCATATGCAACTCACTTGGACGCATTACCCAAGGATTTTACTAAGATTTTTGAGGATCTCTTAAATTTACAAATTAAATTCCAATATGATAATTCAAGAAGAGTTGATCACCATCAGCACAGACGAGGAACTTAAGCAGAAGTTCAACCAAGTCTATCAGAAGTTATGGTTGCAGCGCAACATTGGAACATAGTATGCTGTATTGTAGAACGTCATACCTAGTCGAAAAAGACTTCCATGTGGTTACAAACATTTTGTCAAAACAAAGAAACTGTTTGAAAATCAACGAACGCGGAGATTTAAGGCTGCAACTCACCAATATTGAACCAGATTTAGCTAGATTGGTATAAAGTCAGCAGGTTCACCCATCACACTCAATTTTTTATTTTTTTATCTTTACTTGCGACTTTAATGTTTTTTTTTTTCAAAGAATAATTACCTAATTTGTATTAATAATTATTAATTATACTTGATATTTACTGAATTTTATGTTTATTTATTTTGTTAAATTTTCATGAAGAAAATGATGTCAAATTTACTCACTTAACCAACCGCAAAGTTTTTAAATTGTTAAGTATTTTGTATAAATAGGAAAAAACTAGAGATAGGATTTTTAAAGTAATTTGGCTGAGGGGGTTTGAGGTATCAGTTCATTTTGGAATCCCTGATTTAGAGGAATATTTTCCATTGAAACTGGCAGCTTAATTTGAAGAAAAAAAATTAAATAACAACTGTTGTTAGTTATCATTAATACAAATAACGTTTATTTTCAAAAGGCTTTTCAAAATATATTGAATATGAAATATCTCACCTGCTGACGAAGCGTAGGGTGTATAAGCATCAAAACCATTCGCGTACTGTCCCGTATACGGAGCTGCTGCCGCTGCAGCTACGGCAGCCGCATTTTGGTATTCGTAAAACTGAGATGTAGCTGCAGCTGCTACGGCTGCTGCGTGTGTCAACTGAGTAGCTTGGAGGGGAACTAAGCTGCCGGGAGCCGTTGCTGTCAAATAGGGTGATTGATAAACATAGCCTGGCGGTACTCTGAAAATATAAATGATAGATTTAAAATGTGTTTGGGTGAGATCAAGATTTTTGCAAACAAGCAACAACCATTTACCAAAAAGAAAAACATCTTATCGCAGTTATAATTTAGATCAAAATAAAATCGAGAAAATATCTAAATCTTACTTTCTGATTAGACCTTTAAACTTTAAACAATCATTCATTTCTTGACGCATTTAAGTCATAAATTGTAATTTTTCTTCAATAGGGTTTTCCATTTATTAATAAATAAATATGGTTGTTTTTAATAGCATGTTTTGATAAATACGTAGAATGATTATTTTCGTTATGAATATTCTTTTGTAATCTTTTATGAAGATATTTAGTTTGGCCAGTACACTTTAATAAAATTATTACAATTTGATTCATATACCACATATTATTAAAATAGCTTTCTGTTCAATTTTATATTCAAATTTGGAGAAAAAATTTCTTTTAATATTATGTGGGCTTAGTATGGCTTATGTACAACGTACAACATTATTTAAAAAAATGTAATTATAAAAAAATATTCAAATATCTAAGAAATTGATACTTTTGTCAAGTTTTATTTATAAAAAATGTACTCTTGGATGAAAATTATTGGGAGCATTGTGTGTACCTATTAATTAAAAATTCATTATTTTGAAAATGGTACCATAAACATAAACGATCGTCAATAATATTTATTCTAATACTGAAAAAAAAAAAAGAAAAACATAAATAACTTTCATAATAAAAATAATTTCTTTCAGTTATGTTTAGTAATGAAAAATCTTATATTTAATCGAGTTAAATATATCTATAGCATATACAAGTTAGCCGCTTGTTTCGATTTCTATCAGTTAGGTTTTTTTTTTTCCAAATTTAAATAAAATTATTGTGTATCAAACTGTTTGGCGTCCAACTTTGTATATATCCAAATAAGAAATACGAAGCGTGTTACCTCTACTAGCAACATAAAATTAGTATATTTACAATACATTCATATGCTGAAAATCATTTTAAATGTCTATTCTGATATTTATGTGGGCTTGTAGGTTACCGGGAAAATTCAGAAATCGAAAATGCAATGTGAACAAACATGGCTAAATTTATCATCTCACCCCTAAATGCACAATAGCACCCTTTGTAAGTGGGTCGTCGCTCAAAATACGAGATTCAGAGGGTTGTAGATTCATCCCCGCATGCAAGTTCAAGTTCATTCCCAATATATAATCCCCCTCGCCCTCTTAAATTCGCCGTTTACGTACTAGGGTGGATTTCAATGAGGGTAAGTGTACCTTTATTCAATTTTATGCAGATATCTTGTCTGGTTCGGATGGAAATTGCTAAAGCAAATACTTGGTTCAAAAATTAATCTGATATAACTAAATATGGGAATAGATGTACTTATACTTGTATATACAGAGTGGCCAGACGAAAACATACAAAAGCCATTATCAGGAACTGCGTCAACATTTTAGACAAACACTCTGACCCTCAACTGTCATACGTCACTCTAACAATACAATTTATATAAGGAAACTATACCAAGTATGATACATCATTAAGAAAGTAATTTTATGGAGAATTTAACAATATGACTATTCATTGTGTTACTTTTGATTTTGTTTGCAAACTGTTTGAATTTGAATTTCGAACAGGAGAGGAGTGACATATGATAGTTGAGGATATGTCCTTCAATTAAACATTGACGGGACCGAGCGTTTGTCTAAAATATTAATGAAGTAACTGATAAAACGAGAAGTTAAATTTTGAAAATGATTCGAACTTTCTGTATGAAGTTATGATGAATTATGTGGAAAATAGTTGAAATCAATATTATTTATCTTAACAAACTGTCGTCCAATTATAACAGCGCAAAAAGGCCATAATTATTTATTTATTAAATTGTAAATATGATCTAGTTGATTTTCTATAACAGCGCATAGTGTTTATCAATGCCCATTTATTTTTTGAACATTTAATCTCAACGATATCAGTACCCAAACATTCTGATCGTAATATTGAAAGGCCGAAAATAATATTTAGTGGAATTTTACGTATATAAACAAACGAGTTACTCTTTTAGTATATTTATGTATACAACAAACCAAATGATTCATTGTCTACAGTTACAATAAAAACGCTATGAATAGAGTCTACTTTTATTGTTACCGAATGTCGATGACTACCTACATTTCATCTAATATTTATCTAGAAAATTCAGGGCATAGATTGATTTTAATTTATAAGCTATAAAAATGTTCTACAGAATTTAATTACAATTCGGTGGTATACAAAACAAGGGACTGTTTGTAATATATTGATGTTAAAAAAAACCCGTCCATTATTAACTATCCATATCCCACGTGATCTAGTAAAACAAGAAATTAATGAAAATTTCCAATTTTAGTGAATTTTATGACAAATTAACAGTTTTGTCAAATACGTCAGTGACATTGTTTTAGGGTTACTTTTTGCTCATGTGATCAATCTGATCACTTGAGATACGGTTATTATTGAATAGAAATGTCCAGAAAAACGTGTTGTTTTTTCTTTTTCAATTTATTCTTTTACCTTAAATTAATAACTAGATCGCAGGATGCATAATATGTTCCGGTGGTTTAATGATTAGGATGTTGGTACGGTATACAAAAGATCGTGGGTTAGATTCCCAACGGGACAGGACTTTTTTAATTTTCTTTTGGGGTTGTTTTCATCCCTTGGTGTTCAGGAATTTATTGCTGAATTTATGTCTTTAAAATACTAGATTTATAGTTTCAAAAACACATAATAAAATAATGCTTTTGAATAAACTTCATTGGAATATTTATTTGCGCGAAAAATAAATTACTATTGATGAAATTAGAACTTACCGGCAATGTTAAAGAAACAAAACAATTATAATTCAGAGAAGTATTTACTAGTATAGTTCTCTCAAATAAATAAATGTTGGAACAAAAATATTTATGAAATAAAAATAATTGCATCTGAATATTATTAGCAGTACTTAAGAGAAATAAATTTTGTTTTTAGTGTACATTAGTTAACATTATTATTATAATAGAATGAGGATGAAAATAGCAACATGTAACCATCTACCTTCTTTTTTGAATTAAATATTGAAAAAAAATATCGGCCCAATCCAAATTTAGTAAAAAGATATTTTTCTAATTTTGACACATAAAGTGATGTCTTCTGTAATCCCAGCTAGTGTCAAAACAATATACTTTATGTAACCAGTTATATAAAATTGAACATTATGAAAGTGGTTACAAAAATTCAACATTTGCGAAAAGAAAAGAAATAAATCTAAACCTATTTTGGTTTTAAAATCAATTTGAAAGTTTATATCGAAGAAACAAAGATTTTTTTTTATTTAAAATTTATGGCCTTGGACAGAAATAAAGATGAATTTATAAAAATAGAGTTAATGAACTTAAACGACAAAATAACTCACCTTCTTGAAAATTAACAAGCTATAACAAGAAAATCACTCGACAACAAGTAGTGATTGAGAAAATATAATATATGCCAATTCGCGATTCAAGCTAAGTGATACGCACTCTGGAGGAAATTTATAGAAGGTCTCTATAAGTAGGATATCGTTCAGTGTTGCCAGAAGTAGCAAAATTTCGCTACGTCGTCGGATTTTAGCTCTTGAAGAAGTGGATAAGACCTTTTATTTAAGAATCAAAATTTGTGTCTAGTAATATGTAATCATATTTTATATTTATTTAAGGATTTTTTTATAAAACCGATTTATTATATTGATTTTTTTTTAAATTTCAGTTCATGTATTAATTTTATTTTAAAATTCGTTCATCATGTGGCAACATTGGCGTTCGCGTTCATTGTTTACATTTTTATTTGTATCAATTACAATTCGAGTTTTTTCTTACTTTTTAGCTTTAAATTTGTTTATTTCTCATAGTATGTGATAGTTTTTATGTTAAAATGAAATCTGCCAAAAAGTCCCCAGCAAATTGCAATCTATATGGTGTTAATGTCAAAATCAAAACTGAAGTATTCATTATTTTCCAAGTGCAAGTCGTAAAATTTTGTTTCTTATGATAAATGGACAAATTCACAATATTGAAATTTTGCAAAACTTTGTTTAGAATCAAACTGTAATCTGATTTGTGACGGTTTTATTACCATTTACATGTATACAAAGTACTACACAATTCACTGCTTAATATAAGAATAAGGATAGTAAGATTTTAAAATAAGTTCATCAATAGTAAAATTTTGGTACCTAAAATGTCTTTTAAACCACATAATAAAACATGTCCTGGGTTTAGTAAATACATATTTCTAGATGTTCTTGTAGCAACCAATAGGTGAATATTTCCAACAAATTAAGTAATTCACATGATAAATATTATATTTATGACGAAAGCACGAAAAATAAACTTAAATTAACACTAAATGAAACTCAAAAACACTATTACAATGAGAATATTATCTAAAAACAGTTAAAAAAATCACAAATACAAAATGCGCCCAAAACAAACACATGTAAATAAACAAACCTACTTATGACAAATGACAGGCGCGCGAAAATTAATTTGAATCGCGATTATGCCTATGTAAGTTATAAGGTATGCAACTAACAATACAAACGTAATACTGGTTGAGATATAGGTACAATATTATTATAATTCTTTAAGTGAGCGAAAACATACATAATTGATAATTTTTTTTTAATATAATCAAAATATAAAATCTTTGATTGGAAGTACACAAAATTTATGGTTAGTAATTTTTTACGAATACACAATTTTATATATTAAAATCTTGTATTTAACACGTTATGAAAGGCCGTTTTGTGTAACTCGTTCATAAATATTCACTCGTTGCATAAAATAAGGCATTTCATAAAAATATCTTGAAAATTTTGTTTTTTAAAAAATAGAAGCTTTAAGCTTTAAAATTAAAAACTGTCGTGGGCAATCTCGAAATAATGCAGCTAATATGTCAGTAAAATATAACGGGTTGCAAGCTAGAATTAA